CAAGGTGCATCAAAGTGACTGCCAGCAGGAGACATCAGGTGATGTTGTGTTGTCTTGTTTGGTCTGGTGTTGTGTCACTGCCTAAACACAGACTGGGACAGCTGCTAGCGTGGGTGTGGGCTGTCGGTGCTCAATTACGAGCAGGCAGACACGAACGAAATATGAACATCACACCCGTAAATTAATTTTGATACACACTGATCGCACATTTTCAGATTGTTTCTGGTTTTTAATATTTCACTTAAAAACAGAAACGTCCAAATACATCATGACTTAAAATTGATTACTTGGATTTGACTTTGCAAACACTACCAAAGGCTAAAAATACAAAAACAAAAACACTGCTATTGTACTTTTTATTGGTCGAAACTATGGTTCAACAGGGACCTGGCTCAATACATGTGAACCAAAATTAGCCAACAGTTCTCAGAAGTGTCACGGGGTTGCAACACATTGTGATACCATCAGTATTTGTACAGTGTTATATCATTGTTTGCTCAAAGAGCCGCCTCAAAATTACACAGCAACTCTCTCCTGCTGATGCAACAAAAGACAGAGCAGTCCAACTTTCTTTCTTTCTCTGCGTGTTACTGTACAGAAAAGTCCCTTTTTTGAACCGTGTCAGGGTTTAAAGTTTGTCCGAAAAGCAGCCTGAAGACTATAAAGCGGTTTTGCTTCTTGAGGTCAAATGGGAGTTGACATAAAAATGTGATTTCTGTATGTGCCAGCTGGGCAAAGGTTACTCTGTTGCCTAAGAAAACCTGTTTGCATTAGTCACGCCATGCAGTCTCGCTGAAACACGCTGGACCGCCATTAATCATGTTTTTCAAGGAAACTTTTTCCCAGGAGTCCGTGCTATATTTGAATTGGCTGTGCTCTTGGTGCAGAGTCCCTGGCACTGTGTGAACATGTATCTAAATCATCTCCCGCTGCCTTGTCAGTGAGCCCCACACTACTTTCCACTCCACCATTAGACATACGTAATTGAAAAATAGGTTATTTCACGCTCTGTCTCGTTATTCTGTACGGTCGCTGACTTCCTCATGCATGTGCTGTAAATTAACTATGACAGCAGCATAAAGAACACGCTTTGATTTCGGTGTTTTACATGTAAACCTGGAGGTGTGATTTAATTTCTATTTTGACATATTTCAAGTAGAGGCAGAGGTTATTTTCTTATTCAGTCACTAAAATAATATGGAAGCAATTGACATTTCTGTCTGATGAAGTGTGAAGTACACACACTCAGGGAGTTTCACTTTAAGTTGACTGTACAGCAAAATAACTTGGCCTAAATAGGACTGCTCTAAACAAACTTACACTGGGAGACAATACAAACAATACATTAGAGCAAACAACAGCGGACAGTGATTAATGTTGCTTTTACAAAGAAGTTCTGCATTCAGGAAGCATATTACTGCAGCACTGCAGAGAGAGAGGTTGTTTAGGACAGAGAGACTCAGAGGAGTCAAGCTCATTGTGGTAAAAACAATCAAATAGAAAAAAGTACTGCAAACTATCAGTGTTCTGTCTTAATATTAATGTTTACTGATCAAAAACAGCATTCAGTTTTTTTAGTATATCAGATCATAACATTCACCACATTACATTATTTAGTTAGACACTTGTTTACTATACTGAAATATGAGGAAACTTGTAATTATTGAATCAATAACCGATAATTGATGAATTATACAGCATTTAAGGCAAAAATCAACTTCCATAAAGAACAACAATGTGTATCATTACAGAGAGTACCATAATCCATCAGATGGTACCATATTGTATCATGTCTTAACATATCCTTTTGTGTTGTAACATATACATAACATATATCTTAAAATAACTTATATTGCATAGTATCGTAACCTTACGTGTTGTAACATAACCATAACTTATCCTCTATAGTGTCATATTGTTTCGTATCGTATCTTATTGTATCATTTTGTTTCGTATTATATCCAATTATGTCATATCATATAAAACATCACAATGTATCATTTCGAATAGTGTTGGATCATATCACATTGTATCATTTTGTACCATATCATACTGTATCATATATATCATACTTTATGGTATTGTATTGTATCATATCATATAAGGTATTGTATTGAAGCATACGGTATAGTATGGTATAGTATAGTATAGAGTTGGATCATATCATGTTGTATCATTTTGTATCGTACTGTTTCATCCTAGTATCCTATTATATCATATATGATATCATATTGAATCTCAATGTTTCGTATAGCATCATTTTGTATCGTATCGCATTAGATCATGCCATACTGTATGGTATCATATATTGTATGATATATATTATACTTTATGGTACTGTATCTTATTGTATTGTAGCATATCATACAGTATCATATTGTATCATATCATACAGTATTGTTTTGTATCATATCATACAGTATCATACTGTATTATGTCATATTGTATCAAACTGTCGCATTGTATCATATCATACAGTATCAAACTGTATGATATTTTACAGTATCGTATTGTATCATATCATACAGTATCGTATTGTTGTGTTTTATCATATCATACAATATCATATTGTATCATATCATACAATATCGTATTGTATCATGTCTTACAGTATGATACTGTATCATTTCACACAGTATCGTATTTTATCATACCATACAGAGTTGTATTGTATAGTATGGTGCATCATTTTGTATCACACTGTTTCATACAGTGTCCTACTGTATCCTATCATGATATGTGATATCACATTGAATCTCATTGTTTCATATCCTATCTTATCCTATCCTCTTCTTTCATATACTATTGTATTGTACCACATGCATGAACACCCTTGTAACTCCTCGTTTCTAGTAAAACCAGTGGAAATTAAATGATAAATATCAGAGCATCAAATTTTCAATAAAACCAGTATCAGCAAACCAAATCTTTGATAGCTTTAAAATAAGTATTTCTCAATAACAGAAATATGAATATGTTTAATTGTAAATAATTACCTCTGAATATTAGATCTGTCAAATATCAATAACCTCAATACAAAGCCTCCAAATATTCAGTAACTTTAACCACAAACACATGACACAAATCTACCACCACCTTAGAACCAGCACACCAAATGACAGATCACCCCAGCTGATGAATGCCAGACTATCAGACCCCCTAAAACACACATCATTGATCCAAAGTGGTCCTAAAACGTCTTTGTGGGACACCTTGATTTCCATATGAATCAAAGCACCGCGCTGCCTCTGTGTAATACTGAAGCATCACATAAATCACACACAGGATTGAGTAAAATGATCCCATTACAATCATTAATCAATGTGATCATCTCCTGACATCTGTTGGCTTAAACAATGGACGCAGCCATCCGTGCACGCCATGTGTCATCAAAATAAAAGCGTTGAAAATGAGAGCGAGAGGGTCTTATACGTGTCAGTGACCTCCTGTGTGTACGTACCAACATGCATCAGGGTTTATAACCTATCAAGATGGTGAGTGATCTCCTCTAATGGATCCCTATTTCATAGATTAACAACAGAGCTCATTTAGTTAATCACTGCGGATGGGATCAAATTTATAGATTTGATGCTATTGTCCATTTCAGAAAAGCAGAGCAATTACACGAAAAGCCCCAGGGCCAGATGTCTGACCTCTGATTAAAAGCCAAGCAAGCAGAACTGACAGCGACATTAAACTGAATTATTTGGCTGCAGCTTTGTGCTACTTTTTGATCTCTTTTGTTCCGTTCTGCTCTCGCTCCTGCTCCTTTTAGCCCAAATGAAGCGCTCTTGTAATCCTCACATTGCAGCGCATGTTCTCTCCTCCTTGGCTTTACATCGAGAGCATTAAGGTCAGAAATACATTTCATTTGATCGCTGCAGATGTACGTCAAGTTGGACCGCGGCCTAAGAGGATTGTAGCTGTGTTTAGAGCATGCATGTTGAACCACACATATGACTGGCACAAGCTGCCCCGTTCCAGTCGTACATGCTAAAGAGATCACAACCCCAATTTCTTTCCCCTCATCAAGTTAAGCCAGCTGGACTTTGGGCGTTTTGGGTTAAAAGCTTCTTACGGCAAATTCTAATGAATTCAATCAGCCTGTACGTTTGGGAACCTATAGACCAAGTCATCTATGTCTATAGAATCGCAAAAGTACAGGGTAATCCTGATTAAAAAGCAAATGACAAGCTGTACCATGCTGTGGTATGCTGCATTTTGAGAAAGATGTGTGGGCCTTTTGCTCAAATGACATCCAACTATTCCTTTTTTTTTTTGGTGTAAAGCTTCTTACTACAAATTCTGTCAAATTCGATTATCCTTTACATTGGGAATGTATGGAACAAGTGCTGTGTGTCTATAGAATTACAAACACTATGGGTAATCCTGATTAAAAAGCTTGTTTTATAACGAAATGGCACACTGTACCCCGCTTATCCACACTGCATTTCGAAGAGGAACATGTGGGCGATTTAGACAGACACTAACAGACTGCATCGAAAATGTCCTAGAGTTTGCTTTCAACATGAGCAAACTGAAGCAATAAGAAGCTTTTATTGGGTTTGCAAAGCTTCTTACAATAAACTCTATCAGCGTGTACATTCGTAAATGTATAGATCATATCAGGGATGACTACAAGATTAGAAAAGTACGAGTTCACCCTGATTAAATACGTGACATACTTTATGTTCTGTACTTTGTGACTTTATGTTGCATTTTGGAAAAATTTATGTACGTTAGGGTGACCATACGTCCTCTTCTACCTGGACATGTCCTCTTGTTTGGGGGCTGTCCGGCTTTGCTTGGGGAAGTTTATAAAATCCTTCAAATTTTCGTGGTTTTGTACGTAAGTTTCAAGTTTGTGTCACGTGGACTTACTGAACTTACTTAGAAGCACGTAAAAGACTCAAACTCAATTTCATGCGACTCCACGTAGTCGTGTCCTCTTTTTTGGGGATTCAGAATATAGTCACCCTAATGTAGGTGCTTGTTGCAAATGACACCAAAATTAAATGAAATGTTGGGAAAGTATACCCTTTTTGAAGACGCTTTTGGGCTTTTATTTTGAAAAGACAACTTGACGGAGACAAGTAGTTAGGAAGACATGTGCCAAATCATGCCAGAATTGGGAATCGTCCTTGTTTCCAGTATCTGGTGGATGACAGCCTCTAAACATGGGGTTCCTGCTCTTCCAACTGAGCTACACTGGCGCCCTGTGCGTGAAATTTTAACCACTGAAATTAAGCTTAGGTTAGCCATGATTATGGGGCTGATTCATTGACTGATTCATATACAGTCAAATCAGCAAAAAATTCATGCGTGTTGGTACGTTGTTTGTATTTGTATTTCATTTTATAGAATAACTTGTGATGGAAGAACTTCTGGTGTTCTGGTGCTGCAGTTCCACCAGCATCCACTTGAGGCAGGCCCCAAAAAGCCAATGAATCCCCATTTGGTCCCATGTTAAAATGGCCAACTTAACAGCAGAATTAAACATATTACACTCCAGTTAAAAGGAAAGTTTAGGCTGTTTTCTGACCCATCTGTGCTGAGATTTACTTGTCCTTGGCTACTTTCTTAAAAACATTTCTACGTACTTCTTGCAGGAATAAAAACACCTCAGTTCATGTTACAGGGCGGCAATAAAAGACAAACAGGAATGATTGAAAAACTGTGATTTAAAGGTTAACTTCCTGAATAATGTTGCTATTTGGCTCTCAGTCCTCCTACTAAGCCAGGCTAAACCTGGCTGCTGGCTGTAGCATCATATTTACTGCACAGACATGAAAGTGGTGTTAATCTTCTCCTCTAATCCTTTGAACAAAATGGGACAAGCATAACTCCAAAATGTTTTAACCGTGTGGGTCTAAACTGCACTCAGAAGGAAGGAGGTTGACTCATCCCAGCGTCTGTTGTGTAAATGTTCACTTCAACTCTAGGACAGACCTGTCTTTCTTTTGTTTGTGTTTTATGAAAAACATTTCAAATCATCTCTGGAAATCCTTTTATGATATGTGTTGTACCTGCTGGTATATCCTCATCCGCTCTCATTTGATGAAGGTTTTAGCCGCAGCTCTGGCTGTGACATAACATCCCGGCTCAGAACAGGAGCACACAGGCTCGGTGACGGGGATTACAGCTCATTCTTCAGAGCGCTGGGTTTATTTTAGGGTCCGACTGGATAAAACAGGATTAGCATCACAATGAATCCCCGGGGCACTCAAACCCAGAGGTCAGCTCCTCCGTGGCCTTTGACATTTCAAATGTTTATAAATCCCCATCTGTGTTGTGATTGCCAAACATAGATTTGATCAGCTGTCATTCCAGTGAGGTGTCCATTTTTGAGAAGTGTGGTGCTTTTTGAAAGCAGTGAGAAGTTTTATCTGCCTGTCACTGCTCTCCCAGTTTCTTTATTGTAGCCTCAGGAGCTCATGCATCTTTTAGGCTGATATTTTTATGGATGTTGTCATAAAATAGGTTAGCAAAAAACCAGAGGAGCCAAAAGAAACAAATAGGTTTGTAAGCTTTTCACTTTTCTGTCTTCTTGGACACTCTGTGAACATAAGGTAGTAGTGAGATTTTAATTATAGTATTCCATTGGTAGGGCATTCAAAGGGCACTGTTAAACTCTAATCTTTATGGAAGGACAACAAGAGGACACATTTCCACGTTAAATTAACTAGAGGAGCAATAAGATGGATTGTTTTATTAAGTTTTATGTGTACCGACAGGGCCCTTTTGTACCATTTACATACACTGGAAGGGCATTCAGATGGCTTTGTGCTATGTCTTTAAACTGGAAAAGCAACCTGAGTGCACTTTTAAATGTTTAAGATGCAAGAGGGAATTTTTTTATGTAAATCCACAGATAGTGTATCCAGGCAGAACATTTTTATGTTAGAGATTTTTTTAGGACACACATTGATGTCTTACATACTGAAAATGACTCCAAAGAGCACTTTTTTACATTTTCTCCACAGGAAGGGCATCCAGTTTTTTCCAAGTATTTAAACAGGAAGAGCATTAACAGAGTATTTTTTATGTTTTACATACTGAGAGGCCATCCAGAAGGGCATTGTTTCATATTTTTAGAACGAACATACTGAAAATGAATCTCAGGACCACTTTTTCTAACATTTGATCCACTGGAAGGACATCCAGAGGGTACTCTTTGCATCTTTTACACTGGAAGGGCATTCAGGGGGACTTTTTAATGTTTTGTCAACAGAAAGAGCATCTAGAGGGCACTATTTTGTGATCTATAAAATGAAAGGGCATCCAGGGTGCATTTTTTACATCTTGTATATTGGCAAGGTATTCAAAGATGGACTTATTCATAGTTTTCAGACTAGGGGGAGAATCCAGAAAGCACTTCTTACATGTTACATGCTGAAAGAGCATCCAGAGGATCCTGTCTTTGAGTTAGAGCAACAGTAAGGGTATCCAAAAGGCATTATTTTTGGGTTTTATTCACAGGAAGGGCATCCAGAGGCACTTTGTAATGTTTTCTGCACTGAATTGGCAACCTTGAGCAGTTGCTTATGTTTAAATCCTTTGAAAGAGCAGCTGTATAAGTAATTATTTGTGCAGAGAGGATACCAGAGAGGTCATTTTTAATGTTTTGTTTGACTGAATCATACTAACGTTAGCTTTATTTTTACAGAACAGAAAACAAATGACTTAACATCCCCTCCCACATACCTTATACCATGCACGTCAACATGTAAACATGACAATATAAACTAGAACACAGTATCGCACACGTACTTTAGGTTCCTCTTTTGGCAACTTCAGGGTGTGACATCAAACAGAAAAACCCGCAAAAAAACTGCAAATAACAGAATGTGAACGTGTGTGGCCCAGGGTTGTCGGAGGTCAAGCTGCAGAGAGCACAAAGAAGAGCAAAAAGCCAAAAGTGAACAGACGAGCTCTCTGCGTTTAGCACCCTCCTCCACGCTCACGTTTCCTGTATGAAACTGCACAAACCACAGCTCTCTGACGCCGGCCTCTGAGGAGCGGTTTGTAGCCTCCATGTCTGGTTCAAGGGCATTGTAATGTGTTTTCTCATTCTCCTCCAGTTTGTCTCTGACGGTTTAGTGAGGGTAAAGCACAATGAGAATCTCCATCATCCTGACTGAGCAGGTCAAGAGCTCAAAGCTGGAGAGAGGAGGTTCAGATCTGTTCTCTGGGGTCATGAGAGAAATTCATCATTCTGTAGATGCAGAGAGGTTATTGGCTATTAGGGACTTAGAGCAAATCTGACTATAACAGCTTAATCTCCTTAACAGTTTGTTGGGACATTCATGGTCCTCAGAGGATAACATGAGTGATGCTTTGCTATTTTTCTCAGTTTTCTTTATGCACCGTTTAATACTCTGAGTATACAGTCTCCCTCACTCCCCTTACTGCTATAAACTGTATTATGGATATTCATGGTTCCCAGAGGACGCATCCTGATATAATGTTTGTGTATGTTACATTTAGTTTGTATCTCAGATGTCTGTTTTTATATGCCTTCGTAAAGTCTGAGTAATTGTGAAAGCGATAGATGTACCTCCATGATATTTGTCGTGGACCCCAGAGGATGTACCCTACTGGTGTTGCTGATACCCTTCTCTCTTTTTTTTTTTTTTGGTAAATCTTAAAGGAAAAGTTGTTTACAGTCGTACTTTTTGGTACAAATATTGTGTGTCCCATGAGGATATACAGGAAACATATTTGAGAGATTCAGAGTTTCCAGATGATGCATCTTATTGACTTGCATTTATTGTAAGTGCATGCTGTATTTTATTAATTTCCTCTGTTAGATAGATTAATGTCGCCAAGTGTAACTACTGACTCAAGGCTGACGTTCTGTGAGAGTAATGGATAAATGTCTTGATAGACAGACATTCATGGTCTCTGGAGGATAAAAATGTGGCTTTATTGTACATTTTTTAGATCAAGAATTTTCCAATTATAGTGTGTCCCCAGAGGATAAACCCTGGGTACGATTTTTATAGTTCTAATGGTTAGCTGTCTTTTGGGAATCTTCTTGGAACATCCAGATGGATTAACTGTCAACGTGATATACATACGCTCATTGTTCCAAGAGGATAGCCCCTGGAGTTTCCCTGACTTTTCATTGGCTATACAATTTTTAAAAACCTGTTACAAATGTGCATGGTTCCCAGATGATGTGTCTTTGTAAGAGTGGTGAATAGTCCTCCTTAATGTAGTTGGTCCCCAGAGGGTAGATCCTGCAAATGTTGTTAACCCCTTGATTTTTGTCAAGGTGCAGGAGTAATCATATTCACGATTCATGGTCCTCAGATGATGTACCATTATAAGTTTAAACACCATAACAACATCATATTTTCTGTTCGGAGCAAAATATATAAACTGCTCTTTGACTAATTGCCATAAATGTTGGTCAACATTCATGCTCCCATCAGGTTAGATCATCTAGGGACAGTTAGCTTCAGCTGAGCAGAGGTGTAACCTTGGTAGATACCAGCATGCGGTAAAAAGCGTCCAGTAAAAAGGGCTCCTATCGATAAAAACCTACTTTAAAAACCTGAAATTAAAACTTGTTATATCTTCACTCACATTACTGACATATACAAAGAAGATTTGTGACAGTAAAGGTTAAAGTAGTTCATTCTTTGTCGCCTTGGGTGAAGCTTTGAAAGGTCTACAAGCTCAAACAAGAGAGAGGGGGAACACACTTCAAACGAAATATGACATTTCAAAGCTCACGTCTCGCTCTTAAAAAAAAAACCTGATCTAACATCTCTCTCTTTGAGGCTGCAGAGATTCTTTTGTTCTTGCTGTTTCTGACCTGACAGACCTGTCGTGAACGGATGAATCGGGCTGTAATGGACTCTCGTGATTTATGGTTTTCGAACGGCAACACTTTGACTTCACTCTGCACACACTTCTGCTAATCAGGGCTGATGTCACTGCGGCTGGGTAGACCCGGCCTCGTTAATTATTGAGAGACCCATATTACACATTAGCAATTAGATAATCACCATGAGCACTATCTCTGAACGTAGACCTCAGATAGCTTTATAGATCTGCATTCCACCTGGTCTAGAAACAGTACGGGCTTAAAGCAGAAATCTGAATTTTTAAATCTGAAGACTTTTACATTATGATCTTTGTACAGACAGCTCCAGGACTATAGCTTTTAAAATGTTAGCCGTTAAATGGCTGCAGCATAAAGAGAAATATAATATGAAGGTTTAAAACTCAAACTTCTTCATAATCCGCTTCATCATGACAGTAAGGGTGCGGTTCGATCAGATTTGACCCACCGGCTCTCATCAGATTGCAGTTTGACTGACACAAACCCTGATATGTGCAAAGGCTTATGAGAGATAAACTTTTTTCCC